TATTTCACCCCATTCCTTTTTTAAAATATTAAACAATTCCTTTTTATTTTTAGGCTTTCTTTTTGATTTTTTGAGTCGTCTTTCAAGTTCTGCCCATAAATGTTCTATTGGATTCAAGTTGGGTGACTGTGAAGGCCAATTCGTTAATGTTCTAATTTTATTTTCTTGAATTCAAGCCATTACATCTCATGCAGTATGCACTGTGGCATTGTCATCTTGAAAAAGATAACCTTTTCCATGAAATTTTTTCTCAATGTGGGGCAACAGATGTCTTCTCATTATTTCAATGTAATCCCATCTATCCATAGTTCCATCTACTAAAACAAGGGATCTTAATCCTCTATTTGAAAAGCAACTCCAAACCATAATGCTACCACCATTATGTTTCACAGTTGGTACCAAATTTTGTTTTTCAAAACGTGTACCACAAGTTCTCCAGACATGATTTGGACCATCATTGTTAAAAACTGCAAACCTAGATTCATCTGACCAAATAACATTTCCTCTCTCGCTACTACCAGCTCTGGACATACCAACAATTTGACCACGGGTTTCTTCATTTAATTCTTTCCTTTTTGAGTTTAAATTATCAACTTCCATTTAAAAAAATGTGACGATCAAAATTTTAACAGTTCAAAACAAACACAATAACAAAACTTCCATGTAACTCTTTATTCAGCGATGAAAATCATAACAAACATAAACAAATGATTCAGGAATATACTGTAAAAATTTCACATGTAGTTAATAAATTGATAAAATTTTAATTGATTTTCAAAAAAGTGGTCCATGACTTTTGGGAGGTGAGTGTATCTCTAACCAGAACCCTAGGTGATAGATACTTGAACATTGCAACAAAATCTAGTAAGGTGTGCTTTATAAAAAAAAGGAACCTAGATTCTTCACTTGTTTTGTAATTCTTTTCACCTGTTGTCTCCATAATTATTCTCATAATCATATCTGAATAATCTGTTTGAAAGATTACACTAAGTTTTTTAGTTATTGAACTATTTAAAACCATTTTGTTTCTCATCCTGAGAAGATTTTTGATTTTTTCATATAAAGTTTTATCTGTTGTTTCCTTGACAAAACAGATCATTGCGTTGAAAGCACAAATTATATGTGTTGAAAATTTATTATAAGTTGTTCTTGTTATAATTGGTTTGTTTGGTGATATAACTAAAGGATTCTAAGGGGATAGCATCCATTCATGTTTAATACTTGACGAATTTAAAAATAATGAAAATAATGAGAATTTAATAATTTTTGATTATGCAAACTGGTAAAAAGAATAATTACATTTGAATCAGAGGTCTCCACATAATTAAATATTTCTTGTTTCCTAAGATTATAATTTCTTGTATGGTTTTTCTAAGAATAGACATAAAAAACCAACATATTCCAGGTTAGAAAAGTATTTTTTGGATGTATAATTAATCATTTATGGAAACCTACCCCATTTTGTTTCTCTGAATTTTGATGTATATTAAAAGCTTCTGTTTCACTTTCTTTTACATCAACTTTATAAATATTTCCCTTAAAAAAAAAACAAAGCAGTATTGGTACTTGAATAAATGTGGTGATTAAGCCTTGAATTGAACTGACATCATTTTTTTTTATACAAATTAAGGATTCCCATCTTTAATTCTAATGATTTTACTGGATTATTTTGGATAATCATTCTAGCATCTTAGTCACAACTAAAGCATCCCCAATCACAATCAGAGATGTAGGTGATTGAACACAGGTCGCAACCCCATCCAAAAAGGCCATTGCCCCTTCAGACCCATCCACTGCCAACAAAACATACCAAGAAGGTAATAATGTTTAACTAGTATTGAACTAAGTGAGTCACTAGCCCATTTAATCAATTCAGTGGATGCTTTTTCATATAGTGCAGGACACCCACCTAGTCCCACAACTTTTTATTGGTCTTGTATATCCTTTAGTATACCAGAAATGGAAATGTAACACCAAAAAAAC